TAAGATTTTTTTTTTTTTTTGGTTTTTTGAGATAGGGTTTCTCTGTGGCTTTAGAGCCTGTCCTGGAACTAGCTCTATAGACCAGGCTGGTCTCGAACTCACAGAGATCCGCCTGCCTCTGCCTCCCGAGTGCTGGGATTAAAGGCGTGCGCCACCACTGCCTGGCGGTAAACTAAGATTTTATCCCATTCTGAAATCATCCCAGAGAGTTTTGGCCAAGTACGTTCTCAAAGTTTAGTGCCTGCTCCAGACTCTAAATCCATTCCATTATCACACCTAAAGCCCAGAGCTGTGAATCTCAGTAATACTGATGCCTGTTGGTGTCCCAGGTCCCCGAAACTTGCACCTCTGAGCTCTATTGTGCCATTATAAAAAGACTCAGTCAAAGTCTAGAGATCAGCCTGGCTCAGTCAGCCCCAAAGGCTGCAATGGGACTTAACTTTGGATTTTATCTTCAGCCAGAAATCCCTTCCAGATCTGGAGACCAAGAGGTTCTCAGGGCCCACCCTTCCACTGCTTACTGTCTAGGTGGGCCCTGAAGGACTGGAGTGTGTGTGACCAAAGTCCCTAGCTAGGAGCTGGCAAAGATGAAGGGTGAGGGTGTTCAGCAACCACTCCAGACAGTAGCAATCAAATCCACCCCACCCCCCAAGCACACAGTATGGGAAGAGACACAGAGACTGAATGTTAAACCACACACAAATGCATTCAGCCAACAAAATGAGAAGGAGGGAGAGTGAAGGAGGCCTTGGGGACCAGGGTCAGGAGGTGGATAGGAAGAAGCAGAGGTAGGGGAGATGAGAGGGATGCACCTGCAAAATCATCAGGGGTTAGGGAGGGAGAGCGATGGAAACCAAACCACAGACCAGGGGACAGCTAGGAGGTGGCTTGTTTGGAGAAAGTGCAAATGAAAAATTAAAGGAAGAAAAGGAAAAAGAAAATGAAAAACAAATCAATTCAGAGCAAAGTGAGAGGAGAGAGAGGGAGAGAGAGAGAGAGAGAGAGAGAGAGAGAGAGAGAGAGAGAGAGAGAGAATTCCAACTAAGCAGAGTGGGCGGACTTATCTGAGATGAGAGGGAGAGAGCAAGTGCACAGCTGAGCTGGGATACCTACCTTCTCAGTGGTCAGGGACAGGGATGCAACAACAAAAGAAAGACAAGAAAGTGTCTGCACGGGGAATGCGGGACTTGGTGGCTCCAAAAGGACCCCTGCCTTGAGCCAGCGGAGGGGAAACAGCCTGCCCTGCGGCTTCTGAGTGTCGCCTCAGGGATGGAAGGGGCCACTTTTCAGGCATCTCGGTTAGATTCATTATTTATTTACTTATTTTAAAATCTTTAGCTGCAGGCTCCAAAAGCCAAGCTTTTCTTAATTCTCTACATAACCAGCTCCCCGGAGGGCATGCATACAGCAGCTAATAAATGCGGAAACCACAGGGTGGATAGAGAAGGGGCATTAGCTTGGGAGAGAGGCCCAGATCAGGAGGAGAGAGATGGAAAGAGAAGATAAACAGGCACAGCAAGAGGGGGCAGAGAGTGTATGTGGGGGTGGATAGAGAGGCCAAAGAGAGAGAGAGAGAGAGAGAGAGAGAGAGAGAGAGAGAGAGAGAGAGAGAGAGGCTGGTTAAACAAGGCCAGTCAGCAAGGATGAAGAGGGCAGGACGGGAGCCACATATTTAAAAGGAAAAACAACTATAAGTTCAATTTGGAAGCTGCATCTTCCTCTCAGATCAGCCCAAGACTTCCTTATGACGTATTTAACTGCTTTTTGAGACAGGAACTCATGTAGCATAGGATAGCCTCAAACTCAGTATGTAATAGAGGCTGGCCTTGAATAACCGATTCTCCTGCATCTATTTCTCAAGTGCGGGGATTACAGGTGTGCACCACTAGCCCCAGATTTTATGCAGTGCTAGGGAGCCAGTCCAAGGCAAACACTGCCAGCCAAGTCCCCACCTGCCACTCTCTTCCTTTTTCTCTACAGTGATTGAACTACACGGGTAGGCCAGAACTCTATTACCGGGCTACATCCCAGGTTCTCCTTTTTAAATTTTTGATACTGATTTTTTGTTCTCAGATAAGTTACCAAGGGTGACCTTGTCTGTCCTTGGCCTTGCCATCCTTTTTCATCAGTTCTCCAGGCAGTAGGATTCATGTGAACACCATCAGTCATGGCTCTGTTTTCAGATGGAGGATTGTCTGGAGCAAAGACACCAATGGCTTGTTCCCCAACTAGAACAGGGCTTCTCTCTAGTCTAGACTCTCTAGCTTGGACAGCTTTACCCGAGTTAAACTTGCAGTTGCCTTCAGACCCCTCCTCTGGGCTTTCTAAGGACATAGGGCCTCACACTGGCTTCCTTTGCCTGTCCACAGCACCCAATTAGTGACCCAGGACAAGTCCCTTCTCTCTGTGGTCACTCGTTTCTTGCAAGGTCCTCTATGGACTCAGAAACACCAGTGTTGTTCATTTAAAACCTGAGCTAACTCCAGTATGTTCCCTGGGGTTAGCAAGAGGGCTACTTGCCCTTCCTTACTAAGCAGATGTTGTTGGTGTGGCTGTCATTCATATTTGGAGTTGTGTTCCCTTTTAAATTCTGATCACAAGAGAAGAAAGTATATAAAGATATGGGCATGACTAATGTATACTAGAAATTCAAACATTATCTCTGTATTAGAAGAAAGGCTTCCACAGTAACACACACACACACACACACAAGCAAAGTTCTAGAACACAGAAGAGAGAGAAAAGGAAAAACAAAACCCAAAACAAACCCAGAAAGTTAGCTTGCATTTTGGTACATTACAAAATTGTTTTCTTTTTAAATAAAGAAAGAGGAAATACAAACAAAAAACAAAGTTAACGGGGAAAAATGACATAAACTCCCCCACCCTCAGCTAAACAAGATATGGAATTATAGTATTACCACGTTTCAAATGGGAGGCTAAAAAACAAACAAAGACATAGGTGGGGTTAAAAAAACATTGAGCTTCTCTTTTTTTTTCCATATCTTTCTCTCTCCTTTTCTTAAAGACAGTGTCACAAGCTTATCCCCAGTACTTATGCCCAAAAACTTTTTTCAAAATGGTGAAGGTTATGGACATCCCGGCCCTCCCTCCATCTCACCTTCCTGGGTACAGGAGAACTAGCCTCTATAAAAGTCCCCTGTTAAAAATCTTTTTTTTTTTTTTAAAGGAAAAGAGAGGATCAAGCATAAGTTGGAGACCTGGGATGTTCAAAGTCTCAGACTGTGCAGGATGCAAAGGTAAGGGATAAGATTCTGAGCTATGAGTTGTGATAGGAGTAAAGAATGCCCTTGTAAACTCCCATGGCCATGTGAAAATGGAGTCCAGTTTTGGGTGGGAGATATAAAGTGCTACATAGACCAACTGCTGGCTCCTTCACAGCCATCTAGTTACTGTTGCCATTTTGTCTGCTTCCCCTGCCCCCATGTCTAGTTACTGTATCCATCTTGTTTACACATATACACGTGTGTTGCAAGGAGCAGTGGACAGGGAAGTTGTTCAGATTCCCAAGACCCACAGAAGGGTTCAGAAATAGGATGGGACCTACTTTCATCCCTGGTTTGGAAAACAAACCCGTGTTTGGGGATCTTAAATGAGGTCACAGATGAGAGACTGTTCAGGTAGTCTCTGTGCTCAGGAAGTTTCGGATGGCCATGCTTCTTTTTAGGCTAGTCCATCAGTTCTAGCCCTTGCTGGTTGCTTTAAGATACCCCATTGTGCCATCTCACGCTCTCAAGACAGATCCAAGGGACATCAGTGACCTTGACTGGTGGCCTAACCAAAGCCCCAGGAGGTAGGCCAAGAACCAGGCATTCTTTTAGGATAGTCTAGAGGCAGGCTTTCCCACAGAAATCCTGAGAACAAAAGCTTTGTGCCCTACCTCCCTTGGCCTTCCTCTCTGACGCCACAGGAGGAAGAGTAGTTCAGAAAAGGAAGGGCGTGAAAGAAAACAAATAAACAAAAAAAGCAAAATGAAACTGACAAGTACAGGTTCGTGTTAGCTGCTGAAACCTGGGGTCTGGGGAGGGGCTGTTTGTCACTCGGATGAGGCATCTTGGGCAATGCTTCGTGGGTGTGGGAAGGACCCAGCTATTCTACCTCAAGTTCTTGAGCACACCCAGTGGCTCTGTCAGGGCCGCAGCACCCTCTCCTCCAGAGGCCTCAACCTCATACTCTGATTGGCAGACAGATGGGGTCTATAGACCTTCGTGTGGCCCATGCGGGGAATAAAAACGTCTAGTGTTTTGTTCAGGCTCCTACGATCACCTCACCTGCCTGAAGATCTAGAGGTGACTGTGTCCCCTCTTAGGATGGATGGGGACAGTTTTGTGGTGGGGACCGTAATGGTAGGAGTGTTTTGGGTGTCTCGGTAGTGACAAGCCTGGGAAGTGAAGTTGGCAGGTTTGAGACACCAATCCAAACTGGGCGGTGCTGTGGCCAAGGACAATAAAAGTTCATTGCAGGTCCCAAGAGAAGAAGAAAGGGCTAAAGAGGGGTTAGGGGAGGGAAAGGACTTAGAGAAGGGGCAAGGGCTTGGATGTCACATGACATCCACTGGAGTTTGAATCACTTCTCTCCAGTTCCTGACTGCCGTATTTACTACCCACACCTGTTCCCCAGAAGGCAAGAAACCTCGGTTCACCTCCAGCGGCGTATCCCAACTATCCCTATGGTCAGGCCTTCTCTGGCCTTCGCTTTGCCAAACACGAAAGTGGCCCAGGCCTGCAGGTCCCCACCCCTAACCCCTCACCAGACCACCAGGTCCAGGTGGGAACAACATCCAACTGAGCATTCCAGGTAACTCCAGGCACCCGATGCCCCTTGCAGAGCACAAGGGAGGACTGGGAAGGGAGAGAGTGTCGAACGGGTCGCCCGGTGACCCATTAATGGCCCCGCCCCTCCAGCTACCCGCCCCTACCCCGCACGACGCAGCCCGCGAAAGCGGAGTGGCGAACCCTCCGCAAAGCCAAGCGTACGTACATCGGGCGGGCTGTGCGCCGAGCCGGGGCGGCCCCCGTGCGCTCCGCTGCGTTGCCTGCTGCCTCCGTTCTGCTGGGGCGACCCCCATCCGCTGCCGCCCGATGGGGACGGCGACCGGCTCCCGCTGGATCGCTGGCTGCCAGTCTTCTGCCCGTCATCTCGATGCTTGGGGCTTAGCCTGGGGGAGCGGAGGGATGGGGGGGGGGGGAGCAGGCGTGGGACGCCCCCTCTGCTTGATTCCCAACTCGCGCTTTCACGGAGAGAGCAACCCGAGCGAGCCAGCCCTGCACTGCCTTGAATTCCCATTTAGGCTCTTCCTCCAGGTGGGCACTAGCTTGCTTCTGGCTGATGAACTTTGGTCCTGGGAACTACCCTCTCCCCCGCGCACCCCGGCCCTTAGGGGACACAACACTCGCTTTCGTCCCCAAGTTACACTAAATACTTTTTTTTTTTTTTTTTGAGACAGTCTCGTGTAGCCCAGGCTGGTTTTCAATCCTACGTCTAGTCTAGAAAGACCTTGAACCTAAAGTGCTGGAATTGAAGGTGTGCACCCCAACACTTGGATTATGACCCTGGGGAGAGGGGAGGTCAAACCCAGAGTTTCGTGTACACCAGGCACACAGCCTACCAGCTGGGCTAAATCTCCGTCCCCACCTCACCCGCCAAGCATCACCTCTGGAGCCCGCCCTAGGGTTCAGCCTACCTGCTTGGTGATCCGGAATCGCTGTAGTGTGAGGTCACCGAGGGACTGTGGGAGGTGACGCTGCTGTGGTGGTGAGACCTTCGGCCTGGGGACTCAGCGTGAGGCCTGGTGTGGGCAAGGGGAGTCAGCCGGAACTGAAATGTTATCCACCTTGACCGTGGTGTTGCCTGGCCTGACCTCGGGGATTTGGTGTAACTGAGGAAGGTCACTGTGGGGTCAGCCCCACCCCCAGCACAGGCTCAAAAAAAATTACCTAAATGGGGTTGGGGCTGGGTGTAGGGTCCCCAAAAGTCATCAGAGAGTTAGGGAAAAGAGCCTTTTCTTGGTGACAGCCCCAACTCATCTCATCTTTTACCTGGTCTTCTTAGAATGGAGGGTGTGGGTTAAAGAGGTCAAAGGGCAGAAAGGATAGATGGGTGGCAAGGAGGCTAAGCGCCACCAGTCATAAGTGGCCACTGGCTCACAGGGCTTCCCCAGCCCATTTGAACGATTAGGGGGCTATCCTTTTTAGCCCAAATTGCCCTCGGAGGTTTGAGTCTAGGTAAGTTCAAGAGGTTGGTTTTGGGGGTGCTAAAAGGCCAGGTTTTCTGGGGCAGGAGGAGGAGAGCAGAGGGTTCTTACCTCTTGCGCTCTTTGTTTTTTTCTTTTCGTTTGCTCTTGAGGCTTCGAGATCTGCAGGAAGCAGAGACCAGGTCTGAGCACCACTGTGGCTGCAGAGTGACCAGAGTGACCGTAGAGCTCTGGATTCCAGCTGAGCTGGACAAGGAACTCCAGTTTGCTCCTCTGAGACCTAAACCACCCTGGCACACGGCCAGGCTTCATGCAGAGGGGTGTGCATGTATGTGGTGCTGGGGCAGAATCCGTGGAGTGCACATACCACCAAGCCATGCATGCCCAGTTTGTAACCTTCTGCTTTCCATATATCACTGGAGTGAGATCTCTTGTCCCCATGTAGCAACTTCTCTGATACCACGAAATCCTTTCCCATCCCAAACAAATATAACAAACACCGAGATTTAGGAAAGGGCTGGGATAGAGGGGTTCAGCTTGCTTTGGTCGTCAGTTTCACAGAGAAGCTGATGTAAGGGGGACTAGCTCAAAAGCCAAACCAAACCAAACAAAAAAAAAATAAAAATAAAAAAGGGGCGCGACTAGCTCACAATCCTGGTGATGGGGCTGTACATAGGATGGTTGCCACTAGGGGGCAGCAGAAGCCCACACCATCCTTCCACCCCGGGAGGGAGAAAGCGGGCAGAAATGGGGAAAAGAGGAAGGGTAGGGTGGAATTATTTCCATACTCCCAGGTATGAATGGCCTTTGGTAATTTCCTCCAAGGGAAGGGCCTGGAGACTCTGTCCCTAGTCAGGGTTGTAGGGAGGAGTCCGAATCCCAGGGTAAGGGCACAACTGGCCTACACTTTTTTTTTTTTTTAATTATGTGCATTGGTGTTTTGCCTGCCTGTATGTTGTGTGAGGGTGTTGGGTCCCCTGGAGCTGGAGTTGCAGATGGTTGTGAGCTGCCATGTGGGTACTGGGAATTGAATTCGGGTCCTCTGGAAAGAGTAGTCAGTGCTCTTAATGGTTGAGCCATCTCTCCGCCCCCCTGGGCTACACCTTTTGATCCCTGATACTGAGTTTACTAACTTCTGCCTGGCTTCCTCTTTTCCTCCAGTCAACCCAGAAGCCAGTACCATGGCTACCTGGCAGTCAGCCCTGTAGAGGGCTAACAACCTGGGTGCCAGAAAATCCAGGGCTAGCCCCAGCCTGGCCACCCCCATCTTCTACCCACTGAGCCATTCTAGTTCACAGAAATGCTTTGTCCTGGCCTGCCCCTTTCCCTGCAATTCGGGGTCCCGATGCTTCCACTATTGAAGAGGGCACATGCCATGGCTTGCAGCTCTTTCTGAACATACTTGGGGCTTTTACACGGAAGCTGAACAGAGGCAGGCAAAGGTCGACCTGTGCCCAACCTGTGCTCCAGCCCCATTTGCATCAGTGAAAGAACCTCTGGTGTGGAAGATGGGACTGGACTCGGGCACACACACACACACACACCCCCCTCGTGGTTTTGGTCCCTCAGGGAGTCTGGCAACCTCGGTGTGCCTGCTTGGGAAAGCATAGCTAACCTGTATCGCCTCTTCCTCCGGGACCCAGAATCAGACCTGTGGGCGATAGACAAATTCTTCTGAGTCTCCCTGGGAACAGCCACCGGCCACCGAGGGGCACAGTACAGGTCCTGAGTCCAGGGAATGAGACAAGCTGCAGGGGCAGGGGTGTGGGGAGGAGAGGGCAGATTACCTATCTCGGCGGTGCTTCTTCACACCCTTCTTCTTCTTGCGCAGGGGGGAAGCACTCCCACAGCTGTGGAGACAGGGGTGGGCACACTCGTGAGCTGGGGGTGGAGGGGAGAGGATGGGTATGGCTGAAGGGGCTTGGGGTATGGAAGCCGGGAAGAGGTCCCAGGGTACGAAACCCAAAGTTCCTTGTATAGAAAGCCAAAGACCCCTAAATTGATACTATTGCCCATCCCTTAGTCGCCCTTTCTCCTTTGTGTGTGTGTGTGTGTGTGTGTTTGTGTGTGTGTGTGTGTGTGTGTGTGTGCGTGATCTCCTTCCACTAGGTAGGTCCTGGTGACTCTACTCAGGTCATCAGGGTTGGTTACAGTTTCTTTGGTTGCTGAGCCATCTCACCAGCCTCCTATTCTCTCTCTCTTTCCCTCCCTCCCTCCCTCCCTCCCTCCCTCCCTCCCTTCCTTCCTTCCTTCCTTCCTAGCTTTCCTGGAGCTCCATAGACTAGGATGGCCTTGAACTCACAGAAATCCACCTGCTTCTGCCTCCTGAGTGCTGGAACTAAAGTCTGCGCCATCACCACCCAGCTGCCCCTGTGCTTTCTGAGTCGGGGTCTTTCTCTGACTTCTGAGACATGCCACCTTGGCTAGGCCGGCCAGCGAGCCCACTCTTTGGTTCGTTTGTGGTGTTGTTTATTTGGTTATTTTTGTTTGCTCATTTTGGAGACAAGCCTTGCTGTGTAGCCCAGGCTAGCCTTGAACTCATGGTTCTTCTACCTCGGTCTCTCAAGTGGTGGGATCACGAGAGTGTGCTTCTGTCATGAATAGGGAGAGAGAAGAAATGTTTCTTCTGGTCTGGTTTCTTTACAGGGCCTCACACTAGGCTAACTCACCGGCTCTGAGTGTCCCCAGCCCTTGGGATTTCTGGGTTGGGTATGCAAACACTGGTGCTGGCAAGTCCAGCGTTCAACCCCTGAGGTGCCAGGCCGCTGTCTTCCTTTCCCACCCACAAGTGCCTCCACCCTGGGCCCCAGGTCCCCCCCCCCCCCCCCCCCCTTTCCCCCCCCCCCCCCCCCCCCCCCCCCCCNCCCCCCCCCCCCCCGTCTCTTTTCCCCCATCACTGACCTGCATTCTGACTCTAGTCTCCTCTTTTTGCTGAAGGTAGATGCCAGAGAGAAAGGACAGACAGATGGACTCGATTAGCTAGTGGCCCCAGCTTGTACCTCAGGACAGAGGAGGGGGAGGACATAGAAACGGGGGGGGTTGTAGTTGAGGGCCGGTATTGATCCCCTTCCCAGGGACACCCACACTTGGATGGGGTTTACTTGAACCCTGGGAGGAGGGTTATGCCCAGTGGAGGTGGGGCTTAGAGCGGGGCAGGGCTTAGCGAGTGGGCGGGGCTAAGACATGGAGGGGTTAGCCTTCAGGATAGGGCTTCAAGTGGGTGGAGCTGGTTTAGGTTCCCGGATCCCAGGTGTAGCATCTGTGCCCCCCCCCCATCCTCAAGGCCCCTCCCGGCTTTGCCCTAGGACCATGCGCCGCTCTCACCGGCTCCTCCGATGACTGCCTTTCTTTTTCTTCTTCTTCTTGGGAGGGGGCGATGCGGAGCTGCTGGACCAGTGCTTGGTCCTGGGCGAGAAGGGGTGTCGGGGGCGGTAAGGGAGGCGGCCCCGTGTTGCCCTCCCCTCCGCCGCGGCGGCCGCTCACCTGTACCCCCGGTGCCCGCGGTAGCAGGCGACCGGGCAGTCGCAATCCACCGGGCCGTCGTCCTCATCGAAGGGTGGGTACTCCAGGCCCGGTTCCAAGCCGTCCATCCTCCGCGGGGTCTCTGCCATGCTAAGGAAAGACAGACGCTGCTCATTCGCCTCCGAAGAATGGCTTTCCAGCTGCTACAGCCTGGGTATGGCGCCATGGCCGGGCCTATATCCTCTGGGTTATATGTGGCTGGGGATCGGGGGGAGGTGCTTGCAGACCAAGGGGCTTGCCATCCTCAGCCCTGGAGGCTCTGATGAAGATTCGAGTAGCCCAGGCTCCTCGGTAGTGGTTTGCAAAGAGAAAGAACCCTCAAGCCTGGTAGTGCAGGCCTGGAAGGCTGAAGCTGAAAGAATTCAAGTTCAAGGGCTGTTGGACCAACCTAGCTAAGAATAAGCAATCAGATAAATGGCTGGGGACGCAGCTTCGAGGGCCGGGACTCAGCTGTTTAACGCTGGCCTGTAGGGAAGCCCTGGGTTCCAGCCCCAGTAACACACGCGCACACCCCCCACACCCTCCCACACACGCACATGCACGCGCACACCCTCGCACGCACAGCCAAACCAACCAAAACACCAGGAATGCAGAGTTGGTAGAATGCTCGCCTAGATTTCATGAAACTCAGGGTTCCCTGTGCAACTGGGTGTGGTAGGGCACTTTTGTAAATTCCTGTACTTGGGAGGTGGAGGCGGGACGAGTTCAAGGCTATCCTCAGATACATATGGTCCAGGTCAGCTGGGTTGCCTGAGATCTCAACAACGAAACAATTAGATCTGTCCCATTTACTGAGTGCCTTCTTACCCTTCACCAAGTCTCCTCCTAGTAACCGTTAGCCCTGTTGTCCTATCTTGGTGTCCCTACTGCCCTCCCTTTTCCTCAGTGGATTCCCTACTCTTTCAAAGAGCCCCTCCCCTATCACTGACATCTGCTTCTCCAGATCCCTGATCTCACCCTCTTCCGCCTGCACCTCCTTTCCCTCCTCTTTCCTTCAGCTTTGGCCTCAGCCCCTGAAATATTCATAGCCTCTCCTCACCCTCCCCCCCTCCGCAGCCTCCAGAGGCCTTCTAAGCTTCGAAGCTCCAGCTGCCGGTTGTCTTCATCAATCACGGCTGGCGCCGGAGGGTGAGGGTGAGGGTGGGGGCCTCAGCTCTCCGCCGCCTCCAGCTCCGAATCCACTCCCCACCAGGCTCAGGCTCCCAGCTCCTCTGACAGCGCCCCCCCCCCCCCCCCCCCCCCCCCCCCCCCCCCCCCCCCCCCCCCCCCCCGCCCCCCCCCCCCCCCCCCCCCCCCCCCCCCCCCCCCCGCCCCCAGGCGTCCTCTGCTGCAGATGCCTGGTTTGTGGTTGCCTGGTCCTCAGGGAAGAAGAGCTATCCAGTCATTTCATTCGTCTGTAAAACCATTGTGTGACCTGGGACCTGAGTAGGCCCCTGACTGAGCCTCTTCTTCAACTTAAGAATTCTTTTTAAAAATAACTGGAGTATTTTTCTTATTTTTCTTCTCCCCCCCTTTTTTTTGCTTCTTTTTTTTAGTGTTTTCCTTTTTTCTCTTTTCTTTCTTTTTTTCCTTTTTCCTTTTTTCGATTGTTTTTTTCAAGACAGGGTTTCTCTATATAATAGTCCTAGCTGTCTTGGAATTCGCTTTGTAGACCAGGCTGGCTTTAAACTCACAGAGATCTGCCTGCCTCTGCCTCCCGAGTGCTGGAATTAAAGGTGTGCGCCACGACCGCCCAGCGTAACATTTATTTCTTTACTTATGTGCGGGAGTGGGCTCACATGCGCCGCTGTGAACGTGACGGTCCGACACAGCCTGCTTTCATCCCTTCTCTTGGGAGCAAACTCAGAGAGTTAGGGGTGGCTCCTTTATTCTCTGGGCCATCTCAGTGGCCCCAAGTTTCTTCCTTATTCTTCCTTTCTTCCTTTTTTATTTTTATTTTTAAATTGACCGAGACTACAAATGACCTTCCACAGACCTGTCTCCACAGTAATGGGCTCCAGAGCAGCCCCTTCCATCTCCCTCATCATCTGTGCTGGTGGGGACAGTTCCCTGACGTCAGCAGGACACCCACACCCACGCCCCCTCTCTTGGAGGCTGTCCACACACAACTCACCCTTTCCCGTACAGAGGAGGGAAGCCAGGACAAGGGTACCAGCTTTGAGTTCTCAAAATAGATTTGAATCTATAAATGACTATTTTGGCTGACTGCCGGGGACCTTATCTACACGGGAAAAGAGAATCCTCTGGCTTGAAGCAGAGGATTAAGGAAGATTGTCCATCCGAGGCTCCTGACACACAGGCCTGGTCCATGACCCGGGCATTCCCTAGCAGTGATTACTTTGCAGGGGACATCTGCTGGCTTACTCATCACAGAGGCCTCTTCCTGGAAGGGACTCAGGAACAGCACAGAAACGGTGGAAGGGAGGGAGACTGGCTGTGGTGACGTGGGGAGGGGGCAGGGAGGCTACAGCAAGGCATGGTGGCACGTGTAATCACGGCACAGGAAGAGGAGTCAGGAGGATCCCAGGTTGGAAGTCTGCTGGACTACATAGCAAGTTCAAGATAATCCTAAACCAACCCTCAGAAACCCTGTCTCAATAACTAACTAATGACCGACAAGATGCCTCAATAGCTAAAGGCTTGTGCATCCACGCCTGACAGCCTGAGTTCAATTCCCAGTGCCCACACGATGGAGGGAGAGAACTGACTCCTGTGAGCTGTCCTGACCCCCCAACACACATGCTGTGATATACGCATTCTCTATCCCTCTCCTTTCTCTTTCCTTTGATTCTCAAAAATCAATTTAAAAAGTAAGAAATAAAAGGGCTGGGCCTCAGCAGATAGCTTATCACACAACCATCAGACTGGAGTTCAGATTGCCAGCACCTGCATAAAAGCCAGGCATGGTAGCACACAGAGGAAGAGCAGCCCTGGTGCTTTAGCCAGCCCAACAGATGTGATGAGTACCAGTTACAGAGAAACTCTGTTGAAAAAAAAAAAACTCAGGTGGAGAAAAATAGAGGAGGACATTCCACTGTCCTGTGACTTCCACATGCACATACATGTACACACGTGGGTGCGAGCGTATGCTTGCATTCGTGAATGCTCATGCCTATATCAGCTCTGGAGAGTTAGAGGAAACACACTCTCAAATTGAAAAGTAAAAGGATGGCTGTGAGTGTGGCTCAGTGGTAGAGCCCCTGCCTAGAATCCCCCAGTGAGGGGCTGGGGTGTGGTTCAGTGGTAAAATTCTTCTTTAGTGTGAGGCCCTGAAATCAGTCCCTAGCACATTGAAAAACAATAATTATGACCAGCTTGCAAACACTAGGTTGTCCCTGACAGCCTTGGAGCCATATTTGGGAGGCTTTTTTGGGGGGATGAAAGAGAGAATAGTGTGATCCTCCTACCTCCACAGAACCAACACCCTCACATGCCTTAATTCAAACCTCTCTGCTCTTCCTCATCTTGAAACGGGTGACTCCCTCCCTTCTGTCCTTGTCTCCCTCCTCTGACATGTCCAGCCCCCTTGCGCTCTAAGGTCCATCACCGCCCACACAGCTCCCCAGCCACACAAATGCCTGACATGCAAAACACAGTCTTCAGTGAAACTGGTAAAGGCAAGGGCAGCTCCAGTCGCTCGTGGGTGAGCTGGTGGGAGGTGGGAGCTTCAGCGGATACAGACTTGAACACAATGATGGCTATTTACAAAATCAAGTTGCTCCCTGTGGGCCATGCCTGAAACAGGACCTCTCTGGTCTTTGTAACTGCTCAGTTAGACTGGCCCCGAATATCCTTCATGTGCCCTTGCTCCCAGTTTCATCCCCTTCTCTTGTGCTTCCTTCTCTGATGGCTCCATCTCCAAGGTGTCTTCCTATATAACTCTCAACTTTATTTGAAGAAATTTACTCCATGCGTATGATTGTTTTGCCTGCATCGATATATGTGCACCACGTGCATGCAGTGCCTGCAGAGGCCAGAAGAGGGCATTGGATCCCCTGGGACTGAAGTTAGGGATGTTTGTGAGCTCGCAGGTGGGTGCTGGAGCCGAATCCTGGTTCTCTGCAAGAATGACACGTGCTCTGAGCCATCTCTCTAGCCCCTCCGCCTTAGTTTTGGGAGACAAGGTCTCTCACCGAACCTAGAGATCTCTGTTGGGACTTACCAGCAAGGCAGCAACCCTGGGACCCATGTGGTTCTGCATCTCTGGTGCTTAGCTTGCAGATGCCCACTGGCACACATGGCTTTTATGTGAGTGCCGAGAATCCAAACGCAGCTCCTCACGCTTTGCAGCAAACATTTTACCCACTGAGTCACCATCTCCCCGGCCTGTTTATTATCATTACTTTTTAACTTTTATTGTGTTGCTGTGGCCTCGTGCGCCGAACACTAGACTTACTTAACATGTTTTGCTCTTTTTTTTTAATGAAGCATTTTTTATGGTTTATTTAACTTTATTTTTTTTATGTGCATTGATGTGAAGGTGTCAGATCCCCTGGAACTAGATCTTCAGACAGTTGTGAGCTGCCATGTGGGTGCTGGGAATTGAACCTGGGTCCTCTGGAAGAGTAGTCAGTGCTCTTAACCACTGAGCCATCTCTCCAGCCCCCCATGTTTTGCTCTTAAATCCATGCTTGTCACCTAGTTGATGGCTCATCATGTCTATGGAATAGGAATTGGGCGTGTCATTCCACCATAGAGGTGACCAACATAGGCATAGACAGTTGGCTAGGACGTGAAAGGGTGCATTGAGTCAGACACAGTGGCGCTCACCTGGGATCCCAGCATTTGGGAGGTGGAGGCAGGGGGATCGGGAGGTCAGCAAGTTGGAGGCCAGTCTAAACTGCATGAAACCCATTCTCAAAGAAACTCAAAGCAGAGGGGTATGGGGGGATATCTCAGTCGGCAAAGGGCTTGCTATGCAAGCAAGAGAACCCGAGTTCAACCCCAGAAGCCATGAAAAAAGCTGGTGTAAGGGTGTGCTCATGTGATCCCAGCACTGGGGAGAGAGAGACAGGAGGATCTTTGGAATATGTAGGACAGTCTAGCCTAATGGTGAGCTCCCAGCCAGTGAGAGATTCTGTCAGAAAATA